GTGCTCTTGGCAAAACCTGTAGTAATCCACATTATTGTCTCCCTCCCCGTTTGGAGATCAGGGACAATATGTTACAGTGGCCTATAAAAACGCCCACTACAAATTTCCCGCTCTGACTTCATTGAGGAGAGTACAGAAATTCTGGTCGTTAAAAAAAGTTGCCTGCAGCCACAGTCAAATCTGGTGCCTGACGTCCATCCTTATTGGTTCAGATCAGCATTACATTTCCCGCTTCGTTTTTCAAGGACGTTGCAATGACAAGCAGCTTAATATTCTAGCCAATCCAAAGAATTTGTGGAGTGAGGGAGAGATTTGATACATGGCTTAGGTGATGGTCTCTGGATATATATGTCCCAAAATATTCATTTTATGACTTGGTAGACATAAATTTAATTCAAGTATTGAGTTCTTCTTGGTAACATTTGCATCTGAAAGACTTTGAAATTTGTAATTTAATATTTAGGAATTTGATATTTGAAATGTTCCAGACCTGCCAATCTTTCTGCCAAGTGTCTGCTCATAGTTTGCATCCAGTCGTATTATAAGTGTTTAGAAATTAAAAATTTTTTAAGTCAATCTTTGTGCCCAGTTATTGTTCATAACTTGCATCCAATTTTCTGTGAGATTTTAAGCATACATTTTTCAATGGCACCAATTCCCAAGAAAATTCTGATCCAATTGTTTGTTTTTCAAGTGTAAAATTTCATATATGCACCTATAATTAAAAAAAAATAAAAACTCATATAATTTAATATGATTTACTCTTTTTACCTCTTATGGGAAATAAATGGATTTCCAAAGCTTTATTTTATTCATGAATCATTTTTACGGTTTTAGACCCTACGTATCTTTGGGCCAAATCCGTTTCAGGACATTTGGAGTCGATCTAGCGATGTCCGTCTGTCTGGCTGGCTGGTACTCACAATAACTCTCGAAGGGAGTATCGGATTTGATCCAAACTTGGTACATCACAGTGTTATTGTCAAATTTAAATCGAGTTTGGAGATGGGCAATATCGGTCCACTCCTTCTGTTACCTCCTACGTAAAATGTCAAAATTTTTAAAGAAAATAATTTACTGCCCAGAAAGAGAAAGGGTAATCCGATTTTTCTCCAACTTTGCGAATCCCAATATTTGTATCAGTGCTTGGTCTGGTGTCAAGTACCTCCCCCCACAAAGGGTCAAAATTTTGAATATTCATGAAGCTCATAAAATGCGAAATTACCATCCGATTCCACTCAGACTTGACACATCTCAATATTTCTATCAACACAAGATCTGTTATAAAGATTCTGGAGATCGGACCTTTCCTACTGGTACTTACCCCACAAAGGTGCAAAGTTTTGAATGACCATAGCGATCATAAAATCCGAAATAAGGACCCGGTTCTCTTCAAATTACACACATCACAATATTTTTAATAACCCAAAGTCTGGTGTAACGATGGAATACACCGGTCCACTCCTTCTGGTACCTCCCCCACATAGGTACCACATAGGTGAATAATCGATATAGCCCAAATCTGACAAGTTGTTATATTTATATCAATCTTAGGTCAAACACGAAATGCTAAATTTTGGCCAACTGATTCGGAAACCTCCCCATGAAGAGTCAACAGTTTGAATAATCATAGCTCAAAGCTGGCGACGGATACTATTTTACTTGTTTATTTAGATTTTGAACTTCTATTTGAATTTTTGTAACTTGACAACGACTCCCAATCAAAATTTAACAGAATAACTCGTTGTTGTTGTTTTTTTTTTTAGAAACAGAAAGCCGTTCTTAATACCTAAAATAAAAAGAATGCATTAAATTGTGTATAATATTCAATATATTTCTATACTTACCTTTAATTAAACACTCGGTTATTGAAAACCATTTTTGGAGACTCCCATGGTGTTTGGCCAAATTAAAAATAGTTGATTACCCATATCAAATATGTTAGCTAGGTGTCGTTTCCTAATTCAAAACTATTATTTAATTAAGCCTTAAGCTATTATATGTATGCCATATAAACACAAGATTGATATCCTTCGAATATTTGAAACAAATCGAAATTTTGCAATGGAACAATTGTTCATTTGCCAAATAAACATAATTCAAATCAGTAACAGCAACAACAATAACAAAATCATTCAATTCTCTTGGTCAAATACCAAAATAATTTATATGATACAGATGGTGGGGATGTGCAGAATATATTCTTGTGTATAGCCACATAAACATACATTCACATACGTATTGATGATATATGCCAGTTTATATACATGTGGATTGTATGATTGTATATATCAAGGAAATATGGTCATCATCCATATATACAATCGGCCAAATAAACCTAGAATCTTCTCTTTACTTTCAGCATTTTGCGGCCAGCAATGTGGTGTAATTTATACTTTTATTTTTAGACACTAAAACAAATACAAAGGCAAAACAAATCATGATGATGATGATGATGCTACTGCTGATGATAATAACAAATTGGAAAATAACAAATTTTTTCGATTTGCGAAAAATATTTTGAAAATAACAACAGCCACAAAGCACATATTTTATGTTTCCCTACCCCTACCACCAAAATGTCTTTTGTGGCATTTTTTCTTGGCCATTGGAAAATGCCGAACAACAAATTAATTTTAAACAATAAAATGTTGTAGATAATTCACTCCCTCTCTCTCTCTATTGTTTTGAGTATAGAATATGTGTTAAATCTATTGTTTGTTTCACGCTTCATGGCGTAAAAATAATAAACACCCAGCATCATCATCAGCATCAACATCAACATTAATCCAAGAACAACGCCATTACCATAGGAATTTTCTTAAACAAATTATCAATCCCATCATCACCTATGAATAGAAGACGATGAAACATATTTTCCTCATTGTTCTTGGCCAACACTGGCAAGGGATTTGAAACATTTGTCTTTATCGGACAGCTAGCTATTTTTCCCAATCCATAATTTCTATACCCTTATGGGATGAAAAGTGAAATCATGTATAAAAAAATTATGTTTGCCAAATAAAAAGGGAAACTATTTGCAGAATTTGGCAGGCAGTTGAGGGTATTTACGTAAAACAAATTATTAAATATATATGTGAGAGATATATATAATTAAAATTAATTAATATTAATTTTTTAAAGACGTAAAACAATGATGTACTAACGTCAACAAGTTGCAGAAATGCCTTTGTTTATTAAAACAAGTTAAAAAGTATTAGTCGGGGTTTGCCGACAGATGTATACCCTCCGAGGTACCATAAGAAATGGTCCGATCTCTAACATCTTTATAGCAGATCTTGTGATGATAGAAATATTAAGATGAGCCAAGTCTAAACGGAATCGGATGTTATTTGGATATTTAAAATTTTGATCCTTTGTGGGGAAGGTACCAGAAGAAGTAGACCGATATATTTCATTTTCACACAGATCTTGTTTTAGGATTAATAATGGGATGTGTGAAATATGAAGAAAATCGGAGGCGTATTTCGGATTTTATGATCGTTTTGGTTATTCAAAATGTTGACCCTTTGTGTGGGAGGCACCAGAAGGAATTGTCCGATCTCTACCATCTTTATAACAGATCTTGTGATGATAGAAATATTGAGGTGTACCAAGTCTAAATGGAATCGGATATAAATTTTGCTTTTTTTTTTGAGCTTCAGGGATATTCAGAATTTTGATCCTTTGTGGGGAACGTACCAGAAGGAGTCAACCGATACATTCCATCTTCACAGCACATCTTGTGTTAATAGAAATAGTGCTATGTATGAATAATGGAGAGATCCGGATGCTCATTTCAGATTTTATGATCGTTTTGGTTATTCAAAATGTTGACCCTTTGTGGTAGAGGTACTAGAAAGAATAGTCCGATCTCCACCATCTTTATAACAGACTTTGTGTTGATGAAAATATTGAGATGTAAAAAGTCTGAAAGGAATCGGATAATAATTTCGCGTTTTACGAGGTTCATGGCTATTAAAATTTTAATCCTTTGTGGGGAAGGTACCAGAAATAGTGGACCGATATATTCCATCTTCACAGTACATCTTGTGTTAATAGAAATAATGCTATGTATGAAATATGAAGAGATCCGGATGCTTATTTCAGATTTTATGATAGTTTTGATTATTCAAAATTTTGACCCTTTGTGTTGGAGGTACCAGAAGGAATGGTCCGATCTTTACCATATTTTGTAACAGATCTTGGGATGATAGAAATATTAAGATGGGCCAAGTCTGAATGGAGTTGGATATTAATTTCTTGTTTTATGAGCTTCATGGATATTCAAAATTTTCATCCTTTGTGGGGAAGGTACCAGAAGTAGTGGACCGATATACTCCATCTATACAAAAGACCTTGGGTTAATAAAAATATTACGATGTGTGTAATTTGAAGACAATCGGACACTTACCTCACATTTTATAAGAGTTATAATTATTCAAAATTTTGACGCTTTGTGTGGGAGGTATCTAGTGGACCGATATTTTCCATTTTCGCACCGGACCTAACACTGATGCACATATTAGGATTTGCAAAGTTGGAGCAAAATCGGGTTAACCTTTCTCTTTCTGTGCTGTAAATTTTTCTCTTTGAAAATGTTGACATTTTGTGGGGGAGATACCAGAAGGAGTGGACCGATATTTCCCATCTCCGAACTCGATCTAAGTTTGACAATAATAATACGAGTTATCTTCCTTCGAGAGTTATCATGCGCACCACCCAGACAGACAGATAAACGGACGGACATCCCTAGATCGACTCCAAATGTCCTGAAACGGATTTGGTCCAAAGAGACCTAGGATCTAAAAACGTTATTTCGATGAGACACGTTTTGGCCGTATCAAATGGCTGAGGTTATAAAAAGAAATAACTTCAGGCTTCAGAAAAAAAGCTATCTCTCAGACCATATGGAATTAGAAATTTGTATTCAACATTATCAAATTCTTTTTCATTGATTTTAATGACAATATTAACTAAAATATGAAATAAACCCAACATTTCCAAAAACAATTGGTCGACATGTTTTGTTTATTTAAAAAAATTCCTGGAGATTTACAATTAAACGAAACCAGGCTAGTATTGTAAACATTACACCCTAGCTTGCTGGTTACAAAAGACAAATACAATTAAAAATACCAAACTAACAACTAAAAATGTTTTATGATATAAAATGGTCAAGATGTGGTGGAGAACAAATCTCATATAGCAATGATTAACATATGATATGAAGTAGTCTTTCTTACTCACATACAAAAAGTTGGCTAGTTTCGATTTTAAAACAATCAAAAAGGAAATACATGTAGAGAAAGAAACAATCTTGAAATATCAAGGTTAAACAATAGATGGATGGCAATTAAAAATAATTTGTTGTTTGTCATTCTTTGGGTTATAAATAAAATGCATTTTGTTGTAAGTAGCCAAAAAGTAATTAAAAGGTGGGTAGAAAAAAAAACTTAAAATATCTCTGTGGAAAAGGTGTGGGGCCGCAACACCTAGTAATGGGCGGGGAGGTGGATGTAAAATTTAAAATAAAATTGTCATGAGCTAGTGCCAATTCTTTGATATTCTTATTTAGCCAAACAGGCTGTGTCATCTAAAATGGAAGCAATCAATTGTTTGTCACACAGGGCACCATTTACTTCATCCTCATCCCACTGCAATTGGACCTTGTGCAGCCGTGGTTCCTTCTTTTTAATGATGCGTAATATGCCACGAGTCTGCACCAGATCCACAGTCCCAGCAAATTCTGCCTGATCCAATGGATGTATGTTACGTTTATTACATACACGTCTATAGACTTCGTGTAAACGACCCATGGTAATGTCCTTATTCTTTTCATTACGTAACATCAACATTAAAGAACACAACATGATTTTTTGTTGTAATGGGAAAGATTCTTCAATATCTTCCTGCAGATTCTGGGAGGCTCCATACACCTTGTTTAAGACAGCGGCGACCTGGGTTACTTGTACAGGTTTAAGTACTTCTACGAAATAGAAAAATTTAAATTATAATCTTTATAAGTTTAATGTTTTCAAATAACCTTACCTTCTTGGGGTTCCTGCGTAGTCGAGGACGTTTCATTTGATTCACCCACAATGTTATTAAGATTTTTCAACTGCACCTCCCTCTCTCCAGCCTTTTTCTGTTGCTCGGCAATTTCCACAACTCTACGACCAATATCCAATGCCCTTCGTACATCTCCACTGACGGCACTTACTTTCGCCGCCAGTAGTTGCAGAGTAACTGGTGGGAAAATATCCAAAACTTCCGCCTCCTCCAGACGGGATTTAAATATATCAACAATTTGTTGTTTGGAATAGGGTGGGAAATGCATATGTTTTGGTTTGAGCTCACAGCGGGCATTTAAACGCAACAGGGTTCGTTCAGTTAAATCCAAACTATTTGCAATGCCCACCAAGAGTATCCTTGCATCTGGCATGGCAGGCCATTCGAATATAGTGTATAATACCGATTGCTTTGAACTGCACAGCTGATCAATCTCATCGAGCACAATTAAAAGCATACGCGAAGAAGTTTTGATATGTTCCTGTATGGCCATAAGATGATCTCTTTCGGTCCGACCATGAGGCTTTAGATTCAGTTCGGCACAAAGTTTCTTATAAACACCACCAATCGAGGCTATGGACGTACAATTGACATAGACCTTCTGTATGCGATGTGAAAATTCGGGTGACCTCAGGAGCAGTGAGAGACAGGCTGTTTTACCCGTACCCGGTTGTCCAGATACATACAAACTGCCAGATTTCTTATTTTGCAGGTGTTCCCTAAAGAAGTCCGTCAGCTCGGCCAATTGTTCCTCACGCCCTGGCAGTTTTTGACACTCGGCACTATTCAAAACTCTGCGGGCATTTTGATATTTGTTACGTGGGGCAGGAGATTTCTTGGGAGTTTCTTCTTTGTGTGATGATTTCTTTTTGTGGGATTTTTGTGATGGCCCCTCATCCGTGGAGGCATCAGACAAATCTCCTGGTTTGTCATCAATACTAAGGCGATCCAATAAGCGGGAGGGACTTATAACATGATTCGGTATGGCCTTGGAGGCATGTCGTGGTTGCTTGGGAGGAGAAGCCTCATTGCTTTCCTCGGCACTTTTAATTTCCTCCTCGGCTTGTAGTCTTTTTAGCAGTTCTTTCTTTTTTGATGCTGGCATTGGTTTGAGGGCATTTTTACTTTTCGGTGTCTTTGGTTCCTCCACCTCCAGCGCGTCCAATGATTTACTTGACTTCGCCATTGATCTTTTCCTATGGGCAGCCATTTGATTGATACGATCACAATTTTCTTCGTTGCTACAATTCGAGGAACGTTCTTCTTCCTCTTCGTCACTGTGTATCGAATGAGTGCTTTGTCTATGACCCCATATGTTTGACCTGCGGGTATTTCGTGTTGGTGTTGGCAGCGTAGGCGTCGCAGATGTAACTCCAATGCTGCTTAAACGAGTTGATCGTCTAACTGCCATTTAGGATAAGATTAACATTAAGAATTTAGCAAGTGTTTGTTTTTGTTGTTTGTTCGCTTAGGGCAAATTAGGGAAAATTCAAATTTAATGTACCCAAGAAATAGAAATAAGAACAACTAAACTGTTAACGTAGCCACAACTGAAGATAAGAACACACAAAGAAAAAAAGGTCAGCAAGATATGCAGGTAACATACAAAAAAGCGCGGTAAACAAATGTCATTGCATTGCCAGCTGAGAGAGTGACAGGGTTGCAATGGAGAGTATTAAATGGAGTGTGGCAAAGAGGAATTAATGAAATGAAACAAAAACTTCATGATTAGTGGAATAGTAAAGGAGGAATTGTAAAGATAAGTAAAGCAAATAAATAAGCAAACTTGTGAAAAATGGAGTGGAAATAGAAGTGCAATAATTGTTATGAGAAAAAATAAAACATTTTAGTAGTATATTGCAGTTATTACGGACAAAAAGCGAGGGAAGACTTTTTAGGAGAAATAGAGAAAGAGAGAGAATAAAAGTCAGTTATGTTGTATTTTCTAAAGTCGCCAGGCCACACTTCAAATTTTGTTTTTAGATTAGATCTTTTCATATATTTCATTAAAAAATATTAAAATTTTGACTTATAATTTAAAAAATGTAATAAATATCCCTAAAATATGTAAAAATCTAAAATATTTTTTTAAATTACCTTGTTAAAAACTACTTTCTGCTCAAACTGTACCCAAATCAAAAAATCTAAGAAATATTCTTATAGCATACTGGACAAAAATCACTGAAAAATAACTTACGTAATAATTTATAAATATTATTTGTTCTGACTTCAACACACAGCCACACTATGTGCCATGGTAGAATTACAAGGTAACCCTTTCAGGCCAGCTGTAGTCAACTTGATATGTCAAACAAGTTGTTGTAATTCGAATTCGCCGTATAAATACATAACAGAAATTCAAACATCATAGAGGAAAAAATAAACACAAAAATATAAAAATCAAATTTTGTGATATAATTCAAATAAAAAAACAGAATTTGAGGTGCTGTGCTGTTTGCAAAAGAAAGGATAGTGAACGACAAGCAACATTTTTCAATGTACCCAAGGAAGAGACGAAGAGGTTGAAGTGGAGTGCGATTTGTGGGATCACTTTAAACCCAAACGCCAAAATATGTTCTCATCACTTCAACCCAAAGTATATAACGGGCATAAGTTGCAGAATGAAATTATTACCATGCGCTGTACCAGAGATGTATCAATTCTATTCTGGTGGTTCAAAAAAGAAATGTCCAGGGTACGTATTTGCTAGAAGTGAGAATATACATTAAATATATAAAATACGGTGTATATATAGCGGAGCCCAATGCAAAGAAGTCGGGATGCTTCAGTGTGAGGCTGGAATAAATAAAAATGACAAAGAAATTGTTATGCCCTACCATATCACAGAACCATTAATGAAAGATGCCGAAACACAAATAGAGTAAGCATTGTTTGGACATCTCCACACACACACACATTAAGTCTTCCATGGTAGGTACATGTACCTCCTGATACTCCGTATTTCTATAATTATTCGTTTATATAATTTTGCTTATAGCTCAGTAATTTTTGTTTCGGAGAATTATGTAAAAGTTCTAAGGAAGCTCCAAAACCAAGTCAAAGATTTGGAATTGCAACTCCTGAAGGCGAATTCGGCACTAAAGTCATTGAAAAACATATTTAGCAAAGGCCAAATCAAAAAACTGGAGACCAATAGCAGAGTAGAGTGGGAGTGGGAGGATATTTCAAATGCCATATGTCTGCACGCTTCCGGCCCTTTGTGGGGGAGGTACCAAAAGGAATGACCGGCAACACTCCATATTTACTCCAGACATTGTAAAGATAAAATTATTAGTATGTGTGAAATTTAATTAGAATCCGATGTATATTTTGCATTCTATGAGCATTTTAATTGTTCCAAATTTGGGCCCTTTGTGGGGGAGGTACTAGAAGGAGTAGTCCAATCTTGTCCATTCTCCCACCCAATCTTGGGGTAATGCAAATATTACGATTTGCAAAGTTTGAAGAAAATCCCACAATCCGTTATCTTTATATGCGGTAAATTATTTTCAATGAAAATGTTGACCTTTTGTGGGGGAGGTACCAGGAGGAGTAGACCGATATTGCCCATCTCCTAACTCGATCTAAGTTTTACAAAAATACTACGATGTACCAAGTTAGGACCGAATCGGATGCTCCCTTCGAGAGTTATCGTGCGCACCAGCCAGACAGACGGACGGACAGACATCGCTAGATCGACTCCAAATGTCCTGAAACGGATTTGGTTCAAAGAGACCTAGGGTCTAAAACCGTTATTTCGGCTAGGCACGTTTTGACCGTATCAAATGATATATACCCTCTTTAGCCATATGGCTGAGGGTATAAAAACATTAAGTTCGGCCGGGCCGAGCTTTGAATACCCTCCACTATTACCTAAGAAAACATTTTTATACAAAAAGTATCTGGATTCAAACATGTTCCACTTTAAACTACAAATACGACTGAGATCGGTAGGAGAATGCAGTTAAAGATTTCAAATACCAATAAAGTGTGTGGAACCGTTACATTGGAGTCATACCAAAACAGGAACCTATATAGACATATTTATACTAAGTGGATTTCTATCTACTGCAAGTTTTAAAAATACCAAATTTGAAACAATTCCGTGGGTAAACGTGACTAAGATCATTAAAATACAGTGGGGACCTTTATATTGTACACAATTCCGATAGATCCACCGTAGTTACACACAGGTTTAAATTCACAAGTTCCACGCATATATGTACATTTATTATTTACTCACTTTTAATGGCAAAGCATCAACCCTAATTCTAATACAAAAGGATAACTTGGAATCTTTACACATTTCTTAAAAACCTATATCTAATGCTACAAGGAGAATTATTTATTTTATTAAGAGAATACAAAATAAGTGATAACATAACATATATTTTGTATTTTCGCACTGGATTCTGTGCTGTTAAAAATGTCGTGAGGGAGGAACCGGAAGGAGTGGGACGACATTGCCCATCTCCGCATTATGTTTGTTAAGAGTTTTGCGATGCACTATGTTTGGATGATGATCCATTCTACAGCTATCGTACGCACCAGCAATACAGACGGACGGGGCGCCTCCAAATGTCCTGAAACGGATTTCGTCGAAAGAGGCGTTATTTCGATCAGATACATTTTGGTCATATGAATTTATACAGACCTTCTCTAGCGATATGACTGATGGTATAATACGTATACACTTCCAGTTATTGTAGTATTTTCAGTTTATATGTTAAAAAATATACTAATCTCAACTAATATATACATATGAATAAACAAAAATAAACTTATCCAATGTTTCAGAATGAAGAGTTCTGATTGGTGCAAACCAATTTGCCCCAAATTTTATACTTCAAATAAATTCGCCCTGGTTAAAACTTTGACATATCAAGTTTCTAAAAAAGTTGCTTTGTTGTAATTTTCGCCTATGTTGCTACCTGGTATTTCTACCATGCTATGTGCCATGTATTTTTGTGTGTGAAGGCAACTGAGAATAAGTATATTCAAGAAATGAAATAATAATGGGAAAATGGCCACCAAAAAGAAACGAAAACAAGTAAACATGCAGTAAAATAAATATATCAACACACATACACATAAAATATATACAATGTATGCGAAAATATTTCCATTTGCCAAAAAAACACACACATTTCTCGATTTTTCCTAGCCATCCATATCTCTTGTTTAGCTTTAAAATGAGAACAAAATATAATTTTTTTTCGAAAATTGTTGTGGGATGTTTTGCTGACTCACAAATACAAATATGAAATTTTCTTTGTAGATCTAGAAAAAAAATGTTTATATAAGAGCAAAATTTTTTGATATAGAATAACACACACATTTGAAGTAGAAAATGTTTATTTGTCTACTGGAAATTAATTACTTTTTTTTTGCAAATGTTTAGCTATATAATGCAAGAAACCATAAATATCTAAACAAATATTTGCCATATTGTTAGCATTAATTAGTTGGAAAAATATTTCAATGCATATAGATTTTCAAGGAATTTTGCAAATTGTTATAATTATTTTGTTGTTTTTGTTTTTTTTTTCTTGCAGCCATACCGAACAACTCCACTTGTTTTGCCTGGCGCTAAAGTGAAAAAAGATGCTCCCACCACAGAATCCTACCTGAGACACTACCCCAACCCTGCTGTACGTGCTCGTCCCCATCATGACTTCCATGACAGTGTAATGAAACAACGTGTGGCCGATACCATGTTGCACAAAGTTGTTGGCCAAGATGCTGATACCGGCAAAGTAAGTTTTCAGATTTTTAAAACCGAAGAAGACTTGATTTGAAAATCAATTATTTAAAAATTTAAAAAATTTAAATTTGGACAGTAAAAAAAAATATTAAAAATTCGGAACTTTTTCATGTAAATCCCTGTCGTATTAATTAAAAAAAACAACTTTTCTTAAAAAATATTTTAATAATTTTAGGTTTTCCACAAACAATTCAATTCCCCCATTGGTTTGTACTCGGAGAACAACATTGAAAACACCATCCGCCAGACAGTTCCGTAAGTATAATTTGCTCAATATAACCCCTGATTTTTAAGTTACTAACCGTAGTATGACCTTAGGGCTGACAATAATAATAACAATTAAACCAAAAACAAAAAAAAAAAAGAAGATAAACAAAACAACCGCTTCTAAATGAAATTTTAGGCTTATTTGCTAATAGAAAATGTATATATATTTAAAAAAAATACTAAAAAAATTAAAAAAAACGACACCAAAAAGTGCAAACACCACAAAGGAATTACTTTCAACACAAAAATATTAATAATGTACTACCCATTCGAACTAAACCCCAAAAGGCTACACTTATTATTAAAAAAACACACACAATACTAAACAATTGAAACTCTGTTTTTTTAAATATTTTACTAATCGTTTTATTTTTTATTATTTCTTTATTATTATTAAAAAACAACACCCTAAATATTGTGAGAATTGCTGTGTGCACGTTCAACTGTAGAAAACTGTTGAATTGACAAAAAAAACTTGATGTTGATTTTAATTTAATAATTTTTTTTTGTGTCAACTTTCTCTCTATATACCACAACTCTATTAAATGTTCAATGTAGTGTCAATACACTAAGGAAGAGTGCTTTGCATCGTCCTTTGCCATCAAAACTAGACGGGTAAACTTTACAAAATAAAAAAACCAAAAAACAAATCACAACTTTCTAATTTATATAATTTTTAAATCATTTAAAACGAAGAAAATTTCTTTTTCACTTGCTCATGCCCAAATTTCAAAAATAAAATGTCTATAACATTAAAAAAATAATTTTTTGGATCCCGCTAAAGACATTTTGTTTGAAATCTTCTCCTGTAATATATCCTCAAATAGCCAACAAGAAAATTTCTAAAAAAAAATCCTGTTATATAATGATCCACATAGCCTGCTTATGACAAACAAATACACTGATCCCACACACATTATTTTTGTGTTAAATGTAATGTCAATAACAATTCAACATTATATTTTTGAAAAAAATTAAGGTTTAGACTCATTTAAATATAAAATAAAACAGTAATAGTTCATTCTTTGAATAATTCAGTGTGTTGCCATGTAGCTTCATAAGTTGCCAAAATATACAAATGGCGTTGACTGCATTACGAGTTGCCAACATATAAAGAAAAGCTATTGGTTATTTATAAAGAGTTGCCAACATAAGTATAAAAGATATAGGCTATTCATAATGCTGCCCGGCCACACATCAACCTTGCTGCTCAAAGTAGATGAGAAGAATTAAAATATGTATTTTTTTTAATTTCTTATTCGTGTTATTGATAGTCGCTGGAAAGTGTAAACTGCTTAAATCAAAGTTATCAAAATGGTCGAAAATAATATTATAGAGCTTCCACCACCCTAAACTTAAACTGAATCGTAGAATTAAAAGGTTTTGCTTTGGAAGTAGCAAACTAATAAATAGAAAATTGTCGACGGGTTTCAAAGCTATACTTTTTTAAATGTAGAGGAGAGAATTTAAGAGGTTTATTTTAACAGTTTGAAAGTAAAAAATAAAAAAATAAAAAATAACGATATGTTCAAATCAATGTAGGACTTGGCTAAATCTTCATCCAATTTTAAAACAATTCTTTCTCAAACCCATTAGACCCTGCATACTACAGCTGAGGTTATCAAGATAAGCAAACTATACAGGATTTAATCTAAAAAGCCAGTTTAACAAACATTAGGCTTGTCTGGTTACTTTTCCTACAGAAATTGTCCAGCAACTTCTTTCTGAGAGAGAGTAAGGTAGTTTTATTCTCTTTTTTAAGAAACCTGAGAAAAGTCAAGCAATCAGCTGATTTGTCAAAACAAAACAAATTTTCCGTAATAAAAAGAGATGAAGCAAAATGGAAAATGAGCCGAGAAACAAAACAACTGCTGACCTGCGATTTTCAAAATAACTAGAAGAAGAAAAAAATTTGCAAAATCTCAGTAAAAAAAACCTATAAAAATTGCACTCTGGAACCGCTCTTTTTTGCAGAAATTGCAACTGTTGTTAAATTTAGGGTTACCAGACACACCAATTATTAAATACTCAATTCAATATCTCCTCCCCCTTTTGAGTAATCGGTTTTATTCATTTTTTCCGTTTCCTGTCCTTAAAGATAAACAATAAAAATATGGTGTATCCATGATACAGTAATTACAAGGTAGGAAAGATTGATTAAATGCGAAAAATACAGCTCAATTTAACACTTTTGTAAGGTTGCCATTTAATTTTGACATTTTCATTGGCTTTCCGTTCCCGTACTTTCTGGCCAAAACAGTTTTCTTAGACCGAATGTAGTATTTCTCTTTTTTACTAGTTCTACCATGAGAAAAGTACGGGAACATAGCATATTTTGAAAATTATTCAAAACAAGACATACACATATAAAATCCATATGTGTTTTGACATTTCAAGGTTGCATTAAGAAAGAAAATTGTATTCAGGTGATTTCTAGGACTTACCTTGAACATTATTGTACCATAAAAAGGAATAGCCATGCCCTTTGTCAAATTGAAAGTATTTTTTTTTTTTTGAAACAGGATTTGTTGCTGTGTATATAAATTATATTTTTTCCAAAAATAATTTAGGTATTAACACCCTATTTTTGAAAATAACTTTAAATATACTAAATATTTTTGTTTTGATTTTTTTGAATAACAACATTGAAAAAAAAATATTTTCAAATAAATAATACTTAAATTTAACAAAATTGTTTAAATTGTCGTCCAATGGCAAAGTGGACTTAACAGTTGTCGTTTGAAAGAAACACATGCAATGGTGTTGGCAACACTGTTTTTTCGGTGTTTCAATTCCATGTCATTACACTTCAACGGTGTTGTGTGTTTCCGTAATGTTTAGCAGTTAGCCACACTAAAAAACACAACTCTGTTCCGATACTCTTTTTGTTGTTGTTGTTCTTTCTATTGACATTTTTTTTGTTCTTTTTGAATTAACACTACCAGCCACCACTACCCGAATAAAAACCACTTTTTTCTTAGACAGTTTTGATTTTATTGTTTACATTAGCAAATGTATTGTGAAGAAGACACTTAATACTAATGTAAACATTAATTGGACCCATCCCCACAAGAAAAAAAAAAGAAATATAAAAACAAAACAAACAAAATGAAAAAAAATATTAGTTGTTAGTATATATAAGGACAAAATATTGTTAAGAACGATTAGCTGCACGATTAATGTTAGAATTTTCATCGATCTATCTTTCCTGGAACAAAAATATAAAATACTGGAGCAACAAAAGCAGAAAGAATTGAATGAACTACAGCAACGGCAACAGCGACAAAAGCAGCTAGAACAACTGTATCATCATTGAAATGAAGATTTTTTTGTGCCAAAATAAAAAAAGCAAATGCGGAAGAAATCTCAAAACCATATTCTACGAATGTTAGAGAAAGAAATGTGTGATAGCTCCAAGCTAACACTGGTGTTTCTTCCCCCCCCCCCAAAAAAAAAAAACACTAAATTTTTGAAATGTACTAGTTCCTCTAACAAGAAATTCCACTCCGAAACCCCTGATTTTAGGTCCTTTTCTCCACGTGTTACCTTAGATGTTGTACCTTCCCCTAAATGTCAAACATAAACACACAGCAAACACTCCCCCAGCCAAGCTTTTGTGGCTAACCTAAAAAAAATAATTCTTTTAACCACCCCCCCCCCTCCCCTTTTGGATTCCCAACATTTATTCATATCGCCCCCCATATTTCCCATGCTTCATTACTAATTCCCTTTTAAATAAAATTCTGCATAACAAATACCGAGTAGTTCTAATGCCATCTACAATGATTTGATGATGCCCACCAAGCTTTAGTAAAAAAAATACATTAAAATAGCCATTAAGTTTTAATTGGATTTTGTCATTTGCAAACTGTCATTGTTTTTTGCCAAATTTACCTTAAAAACAAACAAAGAAAACATCGATTTTTTGAAACTAATTCTAACTTATTTTGTGCACATCCTGTTTTTTCTCTCTCTTACTCTCTACGCTATCTTACAAAAACAAAAAAAAAAACTAAACTAAACAAAAAATTAAAACCATAAATTATAAAAAACAAACGTCAAACCAAATTTTTAAAACCCAAACCCCAAATGGATCTCACATAAATCACCACCACCATCAAAACAACAACAAAATGCTGCAACGATCAACGAACAAATGCGAAAAACAAAAACGTTTCAAATCAAAATTTTAGTTACAAGCCAACAGTGCTCTATGATCCATCAAAGAGTGAAACCTTTAAGGCCGTCCAGGAAGCGGGTTACGATCATGCTGACTATAGCGAAGAAGTAACGGTGCCAGTCCAACCCAAGGTTTTCCAACCCCATAAAACGGTTCCAGGAAAGGTAAGATCACAGTGTCACATTGTGATTTGGAGGAGTAGCTCTTCTCAGAAGCTAGCAGTTCAAGCAAAACATAGACAAAATCATCTCTCGTGTGTTATGCGAGCTCTCGCACTCTCTCTCTATTCTACATCTCTCAATCAAAAAAAAATCTCAGCTCTTTGTCATTTATTATCAGCCTATTCGTTCGTCAGCTAGATTGTCCTGCGTCAGTCAATCAAAAAAAGAAATTAAAGAAATTATCATTGTCACTGTTTTGTTTTGATACCCCGTCCTTACATATTTTGTTTTTTGCTATGTGTTCAATTTGGAGTTGTTTTCTTTTTTCTTTTATTTTAATTTTTCTATTTTGTTTTTCGTTTTTATTCACTCACTGATCGCTCAGCCCAGCTCGCCGCTCATAACGTACTCTCTCTTTTTCTAATAACTCACACAGAGAAAAATCTAACCCAACTCTCTCGCTGTAAATGTTGCCATACCAGCACAAAAGGAAATGAAATATGTAGTGTGGTTATATTGTCTTGCGCGCTTCGTGTGTAGCCGACATAGGTTATTAACAGTAACAGTAACTGTCAAAGTGTTTAGGGTTACCAGTCTTAAGTGATTTTATTACTTACCGGGAATCTCTACATTTTGTTGATCATTTTGTAAAATTCCATTTGACATTCATATGTAGTTGATAGTTTTTAATTAAAATTAAAAAAGAAAACGTTTACTAATCGAAATTTACTAACAAAAAATGGTTGTAGTTCTTATTACACTGATGGATTTTTTTTTTATTTAAAGTAATTGAAAAATAAGAAAAATAATAATATAATAAATATTAAAATAAAAAAAAAATAATTTAAGTATTTTTATTAAAATTCCAAAAAATTGCATAAAAAAATTTAAAATTCCAAAATTTTTTAAAAAATCTAAAATTAATTAAGAAAAAAATAAATTTTTAAGTAAACGTATTGGATTGAAACGATTTCCACTTTAAATCAGTTGAAGAATGCAGCTAAAGTTTTCTAAAACAATAAAATGGTTCATGAAAATACCGAATATGGTTTGGGCCATTATATGAAAATCTTTTGAGACAAATCCGACAGAAAATGTGGCATAAAACCTAAAAATTCCGAATATTGGTAGATGCTGTTATATGGGAGCCCCAGGAAAAGATGGACCTATAAAGACAAGTTTTTGTCACTGCAGCTATAACCCATTACGAATTTCAAATACCAACATTTTAGATAAAATCGTCAGAAAATGTGGTTTCAATCGTCAAAAAAAAACAAATATTCGAATGAACCGTTATATGAGCGCTACTGGAAAACGTGGACTTATACACAAACGATCTGCCTCCGAAAGTAGAACCTGTTACAAACTCTGCATATCAAACTTGTAACAATTCCGCTGGAAAATGGTGCTAAAAATCTTCAACATTTCGAATATCGGGATGTCAATTGTATGAGCGCTACAGGAAAACTCCCTCTAAACTTGGCCCTATACAGACAATATTCTGCCACTCGAAATATAACCTGTTAAAAACTCTCCATATCAAATTTGGAACAATGGGAGCTACCGTTACCGATATGGGGGGCTACAGGACAACGTGGATTTATACAGACAATGTTCTGCCGCCGAAAGCAGAGTCAATTGCAAACTCCAAATACAAAATCTGGACCCATTTCGTTGGCAAATGGGTCTAAAAATCATCAAAATACCGAATATCGGGTGGTACAGTTATATGGGGCCCACACGAAGACGTGAATTTGTGTGGACAATTTTCTGTCTTTTGAAGCAGTACCCATTGCGATCTCCAAATACCGAATTTGAAATAATTCTGATGAAAATAGTGACTAAGATCATCAAAATATCGAATATTGGGAGGTATAGTTAAATGAGGCCTACACGAAGACTTGAATTTATATGGACAATTTTCTGTCATAGGAAGCAGCACCAACTGCGAATTCCGAATTTGAAATAATTCTGGCGAAACTTGTGATTAAAATCACAAAAAACCGAATATAAGGAGGTACAGTTATATGGGAGGTATACGAAGATGTGGACCTTTATAGGTAATTTGTTGCCATAGGAGATAGTCAATGTCAGTACAGTGATATGGGGCCTACACGGAAACGTGGATCATAGAAAGCAGTATCCACTGCAAATTCCAAATATCAAAAATGTCGCTAAAATCTTAAAAATACCGAATTGCTGGTGGTATAGTCATATGGGGGTCTATAACAAAATTTGGACCCATATGTATATTTTTTGCACGAATATTTTCTACATACTGGGAAAACATATTCCCAATTTACAGCAAATTCGGTTTGAGATTATGGCTAAAACACCTAAAAAACTATCGGTACAGTAATATGGGGCTATACGAAAACACGGATCCATTTCAATAGCAAAAGTTCAGCAAACCCAAAACACATCTGAGTAAACTATTATCAACTTACTTCATTTGGTCGGACGGACAACGTTAAATTGACATAGAATCTTATGCTGATCAAGAATATATATGCCTTATGGGGTCTATAATCACTATTTATGGGTGTTACAAGCGGAAGGGACAAATTTAATATACCCTCCTTTTCAAGGTGGGGAATATAAAAATTTAGCTGGCCATTTTATGTCAATTTTATTGAATTAAAAATTAATTTGAAAAAGCAATCTATTTTTTTTTTCAACATATTTTGAAAAATCCTTTGAAAAAGTTTTAAGTTTTACTTTTTTTTAAAACATCTCAGTGTAATAAAGTGTTCTCATCTTGCATTTAGCCATCACACCACCAAATGATTGCCAAATTCAAGATGAAAACAGATCTACAAAAACCAAAAATATCTCAATGCCTCAGACTAATCTCATTTTAAGTTCGAAACCATCAAATCAATAAATGTAAACATTGCCATTTTATGTAACTAAATGATTATCAGCAGAAAACTCATTATGAAATTTTATTTTTCTATTTTGCAACAGAAACTCTTACAATCAGCGCCCGTTTCCCACACGTCGTACCATGTAAGTATAGGTTACAAATATTTCTTATAAATGTTTAAAGTTTAAAATTAAAAAAAAAAAATCTATAAAATTTAAAACAAAATTATGTGATTTATGCCCAGAATGGCATTCTCTCTAAAAAGAGAGTTGGCAACACATCCTAGTTACGGTGTTTGCCTGAGTTATGGCAACTCTCGAATTTCATGTGGAAAACATTAGTTGGCAACGCTGTTTAGTTAATGTGTTTGCATCACTTTTACTAACTCTCTCTCTCTTTCTCTCGTTTTTTTTCTTCTCTCCCAACAGGTGGTAAATTCCCACGATGAGACCATTCGTCAAAGTGGATCCTTCAATCGTTTGATGCACAGTGTTTTGGGACAATCAACATATTAATTAATTTGAAAATATATTTATTTAATTAAATGTAACAACAAATTACCATCGATTACTAAACCAAAAAAAAAAAATATATCTATTTTCAAAAACAAACAACATCAACAACAACAAAACTTACTGTAAAATGTAGCATCAAACATAAAACAAAAAAAAAAAAAAAACAATAATAGAAGTGTATTTTATTGACCAATGTTGAGATTATTCAATATGGGTTTATTGGGCTTGGACTTGACCATAAAAGCCCAATAAACCCATCATATTGAAAAACAATAATAGTTTTCACCAAAAAAATAAAATTATTTTACGACTTGTAATTATTTAATTTAAAACCCAAACCAATTATGGGAAATTTTAACATTTGTATTAATAATTAAAAAAAAAAAATAAAACCATAAATATTACACAGTTTTAAACCAAAACAACAAAACACTAACACCACCGATTAGAATTTATTCATTTCTAAATTATCGATTATCGATCGAACAATATATATGTGTGTGTGTGTGTGCGAGAGAGAGTTCTCTTTGCAGTGCACACTCACATTTTTTGTTCAATTCCCTTATAAGCAAAAACCATTTATTATTTAATTTAAAATTACTTTAATTTCATATTTAAATTTCATTATTGAGTAACATTCAAAAATTATTGAAGAAAAAAAAACATCGACAACAAAATTACTCTTTATCTGTGTTGAAGAAAAATTATTTTTCTATTTTTAAAATTTGAAAATAAAAATTAACACAACTCTAAATAAAAAAAAAAAACAAAAAAAAAACTAAAAAGAAAACTTGTTTTATTTTAAAGGGATAACAGAAAAAATATATTTTTTTTAAATATAAAAGGTCTGAGAAATTGATTCAAACCCCTGGGTAGTAATACATACAGGGTGGGATAAAAAAAACTGCAACAAAGTCAGAAGCCATCATTTTTAATTTTTTTTTACATTTTATTGAATTAAAGCAATAAATGTCGGAATTAGCATCAAGTTTTAGAATAAGTATAGATTTTTTCGAATAGGTCACCTTTGGCAGGAATTATGGCCTTCAAACAGCCAATGAAACCGTCACACGCTGCCCGAATGTTGCTCTGCGGTATTTTGGTTCATTCCTGGCGAGGTGATTGACACTTTGGTATTTTTTAGTGCCAATCTTGCTTTCCAAAATACTCCAACAGATTGGTATCCGGAGATTTTTGAAAAGGAACCTCATTTTGTAACCATTTTTGGGTGGCGCATGCTGAGTGCGATGGTACTGAGTCCTGTTAGAATGTCCAAGGTCTACGACCAAAATGTTTGCGTGCCCAAGGCTTTAATACATCCTCCAGAATATTTTCGCGATAATATTCGGCATTTATTCCGATGCCACTGTCGATGAATGCGAGGGCTTTAATGCACCCTCCAGAATATATTCGCGAAAATATCCGGAATTTATTCTGATGCCACGGTCGATTAACACGAACGAAGTGCGACCATCGGCAGTTATGGCGGCTAACACCGTCATTATGGCCGGCGCTTGAGTTCTGGTGGCCAACTGAAGGGGCACATTTTCAGCTGACCTCTTTGGCAAGTAGAAACTCGATTATTTTGTTTGTTTACAAACTGCTGGACAACGCATGTTTTCCCCATCGGAGACGTAGAAAACCAAATTCGGCAGTTCACCCCTTTTCGTTCAAGCGAAGCAACTCTTTAGCTCTTTTGAGTCTATTTTCTTTCTGTTGCGGTGTAAGTTCTTGCACTTTTTGGAATTTCAATGGCTTTACCCCGAGATTTTTCAATAATTGCCGAATGGAATATTGCGATATGTTCCGCTCACGAGCCATTTATCGGCCACTGCGACGCGGGTTTCGATCAACTCGCTTCTTTACCTTTCGAACCATTTCTGCTGCTAATGTTGCTGTTTTCTTCCGTCCACTTCCTTGACGTTGGGCTACGCAAGCAGTATCACGATAACGAGCGATGGCTGGAGACACAAAAGATTTATTCACATTTAAATGCTAAAATGTGCTCTAACGATAGGTACTTGTGGTTCTGCAGCCAAATATAAAGAAATCACACTATCACGTTTGAATTCAATCGCGAATAACTTTTTTTCTGGAAAATTCTCCGCAAAATGGTTTTGTACGCTTGTAAACACGAATAATTTTAGCAGCTGTCGGACGAGTGGCTTAGAAATGACAGTAATCTGAAGTTGGGTGCGGTTATTTTTATCTCACACTGTATATCAAAGAAGAAGAAGAAGTTGAGATTTTAACAGACTTCAAGCCTCTAAATACCTTAAATTTCATTCACTTTGCCTTTTTGCCATACAAAAATGGTTTTAACAATTCAAAACGCTAATTCCCCGACTGTGACAAATACCTCTTTAATGCCACTGTGATCTAAATTGTTTTACTTTCATTTTTAATTACGAAACCACATTCCACTCGGTTTTAACAGATCGCAAAAACTAATTGACAATGTCTGTGTCCACACAACATGTTTATAGCCGAATTTGCAAGTGACCCAATATCAAATACTGTCATTGTCCTATTTAAAGTGCAAAAATACTCGTTTTTTTCCAAAAAGCAAAAATTCATTCATTAAAAAATGGTTGGTCTACAGTGGCAAGGCATTATTTTCAATTGGAATGTTCCGTATTAGAAAAGTTAGGTTACAATGTCCATATTACACAAAGCGACCAAATTCAAATTTTGTCAATATTAGATTATGAAAGTAGAGCTAACAATAGAAGACACATGTTTCGGGGTTTTGAAAGTACACATCGCACAGTAACCAAAATAGAGGGAGGAAGTTGCACCCTCTTCCAATTTTTTCTGGAATTTTCGAATAAAAGATAAAAGATTTCTTGGAATTCTTAGATTTTAGGAATATAGTGTCTTCGGCAATATTGCAGATAACAATGCGAGGATTATTTTGGCAAAAAATTTTAACCCTCAAGCGAGACACCAAAGGGGTCTTTTTGGTCCTTTTTTGAAATTATGCCTAAAAACTCCCTTTAAACGGGATCGTAGGAAGTTAAAATATTCCACAAAATTATTTGTCATAAAATTCTACTATAGGTTCCAGAAGACATCGAAAGTCTAAATCTTACCTAAACGCCAGAAATGCATATAAATAAAAAACACATTTTAGGGTTAAAACCGTACTTCTTGTGAGGTTATGCAAAATACACCCACAAAACGTCATTTTACAAGACAGACCCCAAAGACCAAAATATTCTTCATCAAATTTTACTCCCTAAAAAAAGAAATCTCTATCTTCATTATATATATTAATAAAATATTTGCTTCAATAAATTAAAAAGACATTTTAGGGTTAAACCCATACCTTATGTGAGTTTAGGCAAAATACTCCCACAAAACGTCATTTTACAAGACAGACCCCAAAGACCGAAATATTCTTCATCAAATTTCACTATAAGTCCCCTAAAAAAATAAATCTCCATCATAATTATATATTTTGAAAATATTTGCTTCAATAAAATAAAAACACATTTTAGGGTTAAAATCGCACTTCTTGTGAGTTTATGCAAAATACTGCCACAAAACGTCATTTTACACGACTTACCCCAAATACCAAAATATTCTTCATCAAATTTCACTATGAGTCCCCAAAGAAAGGAAATCTCTAGCTATATTATATAACCCGAAAATATTTACGTCAATGTCGCGAAAATATTTCCTATTTTTTTAAAGAAATGCTCTTTGGTCTTTCAAGGGTCAAAGCCATACTTTATATGAATTTATGCAAAATACTCCCACAAAACAGCATTTTAGAAGGATAATGTCGAGGACAAAAACATTTTTCATCAAATTTCACTATAAGTCCTCGAAGAAGAGAAATCTCTATCTTCATTATATAATCCAAAAATATTTGCATCAATGTAGCGAAATTTTTTTTTATTTTTATGAGAAATTTTAAAGCCATACTTTTTATGAATTTATGTAAAATACTCCTACAAAACAGCATATTAGAAGAATAACGTCAAGAACAAAAATATTCTTCATCAAATTTGTCTATAAGTCATCAAAAAAGGGAAACCTCTATCTTTATTATTTAACCCTAAAACATTTTCATCAATTTTGGCAAAAAAAAAACGCAAATATATTTTATATCAATTTTTCCTCGACCTATTTTCGAATTGACGCCTGAAAGTAACATAAAATTTCATTTTTGGCAAAAAGTGTCTGAAGAAGAAATATTCTACACAAAATTTCATTATAAAACTCAGAACAAACCTTATATCTAGGTTCAACAGTTTTTAAGAAAATTACATTCGAAATTCATGTATTGCAAATGAGATTTATGTGTTTAAATTTTTTCAACTAATTTCACACGTTTTCATTCTAAGTCAAAATTCTTCCTTAATCCCCCTTTTAGGTTACATTTACAGTGTCTTCGGCAATATTACAGATAACAATATGAAGATTATTTTGGTAAAAATTTTTAACCCTCAAGCGAACCACAAAAGTGGTCTTTTTGGTCCTTTTTTCAAAATATGGTCAAAAACTACCTTTAAACGGAATGGTAGGAAGTTAAAATATTCCACAAATTTATTCATCATAAAATTCTACTATAGGTTCCAAAAGACATTAAAAATCTAACTCTTACCAAAACACCAGAAATTCATATAAATTTAAAACACATTTTAGGGTTAAACTCGGACTTATTTTGAATTTATGTAAAATAATCCCACAAAACGTCATTTTACAAGACAGACCCCGACGACCGAAATATTCTTCATTAAATTTCTCTATAAGTCCCCTAAAAAAGAAATCTCTATCTTCATTATATATTAAGAAAATATTTACTTTGATGAATTAAAAAGACATTTTAGGGTTAAACCCATACTGTATGTGAGTTTAGGCAAAATACACCCATAATATGGCATTTTACAAGACTGCCCATACAGACCAAAATATTCTTCATCAAATTTCACTATAAGTCCTCTAAAAAAATAAATCTCTAGCTTCATTATATATTATGAAAATATTTGCTTCACTAAATTAAAAACACATTTTAGGGTTAAAATCACACTTCTTGTGAGTTTATGCAAAATACTCCCACAAAACGTCATTCTTCATCAAATTTCACCATAAGTCCCCAAAGAAAGTAAGGATCTCTAACTTTATTATATAACCAAAAAATATTTACGTCAATGTCGCGAAAATATTTCCTATTTTTTTAAAGAGAGCATGGCCTTTCAAGGGTCGAAGCCATACTTCATATGAATTTATGTAAAATACTCCCACAAAACAGCATTTTAGAAGGATAATGTCGAGGACAAAAACATTTTTCATCAAATTTCACTATTAGTCCTCAATGAAGGGAAATCTCTATCTTCATTATATAACCCAAAAAAAGCTTCATAAATTTTCCCCAAAAAAAAAAAAAAAAAAAAAAAAAAAATTTCCTATTTTTTTTTAAACTTCTCCTCCGTCTTTTTTCGACTGGATGCATAAAAAAACACCAAAAACACCAACTGTCATTTTAGGCTTAAAGTGTCAAAGGAAGAAATATTCTACACATAATTTCACTATAAATCTCAGAAAAAAACATATGCCTAGACCTAGGTTTTAAGAAAAATAAATTCGAAATTTATATATTACAAGTGAAAATGATATCTTCACGTTTTATACTGCTAATTTAACGCTTTTCCATTCTAAGTCAAAATCTCCCTTAATATTTCATTTTTTGAAGAAAGTGTCAATGGAAGAAATATTCTACACAATATTTCACCATAAATCTCAAAATTAACCATATGCCGAGGTGTAATAGTTTTTAAGAAAATTAAATTCGAAATTAATATATTAGAAGTGAAAATTGTGTGTTTATGTTTCTATCGCTACTTTAACACATTTCCATTCTAAGTCAAAATTTCCCATAATACGTCATTATTTGAGGAAAGTATCAAAGGAAGAAATATTCTACACAAATGTTTATTATAAATCTCAGAATAAACTATAAATCTAGGTATAATAGTTTCTCAAGAAAATTAAATTTACGTATTAAAAGTGGAAATTATATGTTGTTTTTTTCTGCTAATTTAACACGTTTCGAATCTAAGTCAAAATCTCGCATAATACTTCATTATTTGGGAAATGTGTCAAAAGGGGAAATATTCTACATGAAATTTCAATATAAACGGATTTGGTCCAAATAGACTTAGGGTCTAAATCCGTTATTTCGATGAGACACGTTTACCCTCTCTATCGCTGAGTGCATAAAAAGGCCTAACACGAGTTGTTGAAACAAGTCTACAATTTTAAGGTAAACTTTTCGCTGACGAAGTAGCGGGACCTTGCTAGTGTAAGTATACAATTTAAGACCAGAGGACACAGAATTTATAGTACCTTTTAGAACGCATTTCCGAAAACCCCGTCTTATCGCACACCTACCCACCGACAGCTACCTACTTGCCACATTTTATATATTGATGTCAGATTTAGTTCCAATAATTTCCTAGGTTACGCTACGTTCGACGATGAAAAAATTCGAAGCCATCTCTTTAATGTCATAGTTATGTTGGGTAATATTCAAGAAATAACAACAAATAAAATAATACAATACCAGGAACTTGTTATTGTTGTGGAATATGATCTGGCTACCTTAATCCATCCAGAGGTGTACGCTTGCGGTTGGCAAATAACAATATTGAGCCAATAACATATTGAACTCTACACCTGGAGTATGGAGTACTCATAACAATTGAACCCTTTGAAGTAGATCGGTAGTCAGTCATACATCAAATAACAAAAATCTCTAATTGAATAATAGATTTTTAAATACAATTGGTTCGGAATGGATGCTTTATTGGCGATAAAGTGGAAAAAAAAGTTGATTAAGTAATCGACTAACAATACCGACAACCTGAAAAAAAAATAATGTTAGCCATGGCTAAAATTTGATATATGAACGGGTGAGTATATCCCTTATGCATACATTTGTATGTATGTGTAACAATTAAGATAGGCTATGCTAAGCTTGTCTTGAAGAGATCTTATAGATCACGTCGCACAAACCACAATTAAAAGCATCGCATAACCAGCAACAAATATTTAAATGATTGTTGCACATGATTCGGCGTTGGCGTCGTCTTCGGCACTGGCTATGATGACGCTGAACATTATAGCCCGAAACCAAAACACCAGCAGCATATCTGCCTACCAGCCAGCCATCCACCGCCAATAACAACCATAACAAAAGACAATGACGACGATGACTAACCATAAACAAATGTAAATGAATATCGGCAATTATATGTATGTACCCCCCCCCCCCCCAACTATGTACATATATCGGTTGTCTGGTCTGCTCGCCAAAAGGTGTTAGTGCGCATGCGTAAATGCATGCGAACGGAGTGGTACAGAGCCCAGCAACAAATATTCTTTGACAAAAAAAAAAAAGATACAAAAAAATTAGGTCAGCCCTCAATGCGGTTGGTTGGCAGCCAGAAGAAACCGATGTAATAAATAGCATATCAGTTACAATAATACGAATGAGTGTGCATAAATAGATGAAGGCTCCAAAAATAAAATGGAGAACAAAAATAATAACTAAAAATGCCCCTTCGACGAGAGTCGAAGACAAACGCAATAAAGTTACAAAATAGTGGTTTGTTTGTTATTTTTAATATTTGCAGACTTGTAAGTCCAATAAGGGTACTTGGCTTTGATATGGACCCACTGGAGCTAGTGTTATGGTCTTTTCAGAGGATAATCTCTTTGAATGACTAAAGAGGAAAATCTCTCTTTTAAGAGGAAAATCACTTCAGATGGTTTGAGAGCAGCCAAGGGTGTAGTAGCGTTCAAAATAGGCCAAATGATTTTTTTTTTTAATCAGGGATTGTTTTTGAAGAGCTATAGGGATAATTTGAGAGAGAGTATTTATTTGTTATGAGAGACTTTTTGATAGAGAGTTTAAAAGCGAGATTTTCTTCACAGACGAACAAAGTCTTTCTAACAGATGAGTTAAAGATAGGACGTTCGAATATAAGTGGTGCAAATGCACTTTTCATAGGGGAGGTAAAGGTATTCGAACTTTTTTAAAAATTACCATTTGGAAAGGCTCTTCGTAGACAAGCTGCTGGCACGTATTTTTCATTTTCGAAATGGAAGTTTTTATCTGTTTCTCTCTCATAAAAGACACAAAGGATGTCTTGTCATAAACGAATTGGTAGAATGTCTATTTTTGTAGATATGTTGAAGAAGGCCTTGTCATATGTGAAATATACCAGCAAAAGTGTTATTGCCGAAGAATTGGTCCATCTATACGATTGAAAGACTAGAGTGATGACAGAGTGATTGACTGACGAAACAACTAAAGCTAGGATCTTGTAATTTCGCATCTACGTCAATGTTGTGTGCTGGGGTAAGAAAAAGCTCGGTACCATAAATTGAATCCATTGCATTGGTAAAAGGAATAGAGCTATGGAACTATAAATTTGCTATGGAACTATAAAAATTGAGAAGTAGGGTTAATACAGGGTGATAAATAACCTGCAACAAAGTCAAAACCCAAATTTTTCCTTTTTTTAATTTTATTGAATGAAAGCAAAAAATGTCGGAAATAGCATAAACTTTTAGAAGAAGTTTAGATTTGTTCGATTTGGTCACCTTTGGCACGAATTATGGCTTTCGAACCCGTCTCACGCTGCCCGAATGTTGCTCTGATCGACACTTTGGTATTTTTTAGTGCCAACCTTGTTTTCCAAAATACTCCAGACACAATAGTCTAACGGATTGGTATCCGGAGATTTTGGTGGCCATTGTTCGCTGGAAATGAAGCGAGGAAACTCATTTTGTAACCATTCTTGGGTGGCACCTGCTGAGTATGATTGTGCTGAGTCCTGTTGGAATGTCCAAGGTCTGTGACAAAATTGTTTGCGTGCCTAAGGCTTTAATACACCCTCCTTCGCGAAAATATTCGGCATTTATTCTAATGCCACGTTCGATTAATACGAGCGGAGAGCAAACATCGGCTGTTATGGCGGCCCATACCATCACCATGGCCGGCGCTTGAGTTCTAGTGGCTAACCGAAGGTGCAAATTTTCAGCTGACCTTTTTGGCAAGTAAACACGATCATTTTGATTGTTTACAAACTGTTGGGCAACGAATGTTTTATCATTGGAGACGGAGAAAACCAAATTCGGCAGTTTACCACTTTCGGCCAAGCGAAGCAACTCTTTAGCTCTTTTCAGTCTATTTTCTTTCTGTTGCACTGTTAGCTCTTGCCCTTTTTCGAATTTCAATGGCTTTACCCCGAGCTCATTTTTCAATATTTGCCGAATGGAATATTGCGATAAGAGGGGGAAACCTCTACTTTGGTTTTATTGCAATATATGCTTCCCAAACGATAATACTTGAATTTTGTCCCGCAGAGTAATGGAAAAGATATTCGTTCAATCCCCTTTTGATGTATATAAATAGGCTAAGGACTTTCTATTTGAAAAAAAAACTCATTGAAAAATTTTCTACTATTTGCAGGTCTTCGATTTTTAAAAGTCTTAAAGAATGTCAAACCAAAAAATAGCCTCAATTAAACGGTGAAGGGCATTTAAATCTGTTCGCAAAAAAGTACCCATTCAGAGTATTGGTATAGTTCGCAATGATGCAAAAATGCATCCAACTCCCCCAAGCTACTCTCAGTCAATTACAACGGCTCTTGTGTGTGTGTTGGCTCTTTTTAACCGTTTAAGTGACGTCACCTGCAAAGGGGTAATCTTACGATGCGGTTCACTCTCCTAACGTTACTCATTTATGTAAACATTGTTTGGGTGGCTATGTGCAACATTGAAAGTGAGAGTGTACAACGGAATGATTGTTGTTGCTAACCAACAAAATAATGTTAACCAGGTCTGATTCGAACACAACAACAACAAAATTTGATCGAAACAATGCTGACAAAAAAAAAAAACTGCAATAGCAAAACAACAACAGCAAAACGATGGTAGTAAAGGTTTACTCAAACTCATTTCGTTGTTGGGTTGGTTGGTTGGTTGGCGGATCTCTTGCGAGAGACTGAGGCCCCAAACGCAAATAGAGTCAAAAACTCGATAAAATCCCAAAATCAACACACACACATGTACAATTACAACTCATAGACGCCAATTGAAATCCATGCAAGAAATGGAGGAAAAAACACTCTGAGCCATTGTCAAAACTAGGTGCAACTATAAAAGCTTGGACTGCAGTGTCAAACCATTGCAGATACCGTTGTTAGCGCTTTTAACGAGGACGTTTTTCTTAAAAAAAAACTCTTCGGCCGGAAACGAAAACAAAATAAAATAAACCCCCTCAAATTCGAATAACAAGAAAAACGCGTTTTGTGTAATAGACCAATTTACATTCCGCTGCTGCTGTTTTTGTTGTTGTTGTGCAAAGAGTATTAACCTTATAAAGGATTTGAGACATAACTAGTTCAGTGAAATATCTCAAAAGTCATAAATTAATCCAAATTTTAAAAACAAAAAACAGATATGCGTACATTTGTGATAATTGCTACTCTGGCCTTTGTGCTGGGCCATGTTGGCGCCCAACAGCATCAACAAATCGATCCTGCCTATTTGCGTCAATACTATCAGCAGTTGCAGCAACAAACAGGAGCTGCTGGTGATGCAACACCAATTTACGAACAAAATTCGGAACAATCCCAGCAATACATAACTCCCGGCCAGCAGTTGCGTGTCAAGGATAATGTGCAAGAACAAGTAATGTGAAAATATGTATTTTTGAAATAGAAAAAAAAAATTATTTTTTTTTTTGATAAGTGATTCGAAGTTATTCTCCAAAAAATAAATTTTTTCAAAATTTTATTATATATGAATCTTATATAAAAAAAAATTTAAAAAAAAAATATTTTTTGGAGAATATTTCCATTTATATAAGATATATGAATCTTATATAAAAAAAATTTGAAAAAAATTATTTCCATTTAAAAAATAAAAAAAATAGTTTTCAGGAAGAAAATTTCTCAAACAATTAAAGTATAATCCCAAGGATTTAATTTGCAATTCAAAATTTGCAGATTTTTTTTTAATGGAAGAATATCCCTTTATGGAACAATATCCCTCCATAGAAAATATACAAAAAAAAAAAAATTATTTTGGAGAAAATTGTTTGAAAAATTTTGATGCAAAATCTGAAACATTTCATTTGCAAGTTAAAAAAAATGAATTTAACATTTTCCATTTGAAATATTCCTATAATGAGAGAATATCTCCAACACAGAAAGTAATATTAATTTTCTGTGGAGAAAACCCCTGTATCATTAATAAGAAGACTGATGAGGATTGGTGGTAAATATTGTCACCAAAAAAAATAAACGTTGTTCCTTCAAACTCAATAATGTCGGAATTGAGCCCGACAGTTTTAAAATAACAAAATTATATATTTGCAAATTCAAATTTTTTGCTAAAGAAAAAATCTGTTCCAAATATGTTTTTCAAATTTTGAATTAAACACAAAAAAAAAAAAATAATTAAAACAATTAAAAAACTGTAAATTTGGCCGGGCCGAACTTTGAATACCCTCCACCATTTGGAACGAATTTGGCAATTTTCAAAAAAAAAAAAAAAAAAAAAATATACGTTAAAAATTCTGTTAAAATCTTAAAAATACCGAATGTAGCCGTTATATTGGGGTCTATACGACGACTTGGACCTACATAGCCAACTTTTGTCAAAACCATTACAATATTCCAATGTGAAACTTGAAACAAAATTCGGTAGCTAAAATACCTTATATCGGGAGGTACCGTTATATGAGGGCTATACGAAGTCGTGGATCTACACAGAAAATTTTTGTCATAGGCTGTAGTATTCATTAAGAACTTCAAATACCAAATTTGGAACATTTCCAGTGAATAATGTCGTTAAAATCATCAAAATACCGAATATCGGGAGGTACAGTTATATGGGGGCTATACGAGGACGCCAACCTGCACAGACAATTTTCTGCCACAGGCTGTAGTATCCTTTATGAACATCAAATACCAAATTTTTAAACGATTCCGGTGAATAATGTCGCTAACATCATCGAAATACCGAATTATCGGGAGGTACCGTTATATGGGGGCTATAGGAAGACATGGATCTGCACAGACAATTTTTTTTGTCACAGGCTGTATTATCCATTACGAACTTAAAATTCCAAATGTGAAACGATTCCGGTGAATAATGTCGCTTAAATCACTCATATATTGAAAATAGGGAGGTACCATTATATGGTGGCTATACGAAGAAGTGGACCTGCACAGACAATTTTTTATCATAGCCTGTAATATCCATTACGAACTTCCACTACATAATATGAAACAATTCCGGTGAATAATATCGCTTAAATCATCAACATACCGAATTATCGGGAGGTACCGTTATATAGGGGCTATACGAAGACGTAGATCTGCACAGACAATTTTTTGTCACAGGCTGTAATATCCATTACGAACTTTAAAGACCAAATTTGAAACATTTCCGGCGAATAATGTCGCTTAAATCACCAAAATACCGAAAATAGGGAGGTACTATATGGGAGCTATACAAAAAAGTGAACCTATATGGCCCATTTTCAATACCAAAAGTCCTGCAGACAGAATATACATTTAAGTAAAATTTTATCAACCTACTTCATATCGTTCGGAAGCTAGAGTGATTTCCACAGACGGATAAGCGGACGGATATCACTAAATCGACATATATACTTTATGGGGTCTAAAATGTATATTTCGAGGTGTTACAAACGGAATGACAAACTTAATATACCCTCCATACTATGGTGGAGGGTATAAAAACTGAGCAAAATAAAAATATAAAAAACTCAACTGAAATGGTGTGTTTTGTTCGCATTTCAAATATGACCTTAAATTTTCGATATAGACCTCTTAGTTTTAGAATTGAATTTTGAAGCTTGAAGAATATTTAAAAATATAATAAATCTATAAATTTATAATAAAGAGCTTAAGGATTTATCGAAGCACAGTCCAAAATCTTATGAAATATTAATGAAAGTGTTCGGGACTCACCTCTATTTTCTTTGCGGCCATTATATGATGAGATTTTGCTGAAAATAGAGAAAATTATCCTTACTTATTAAAAATTCTATAGATTGGTAATACATATTGAGAAAGGAGACTATTATCCGCACTTTTTAAAAGTCCGTTAGTATAGTAAAAAAAGAAAGTACTGGGATTTATTATATTGTAAATAAATAGTAACTCAATTACCTATTTTGGCGACTTTACCAAATAATTGAACAGTTTAAGATTATCGAGCTTAAATAACCACTTAATGGGTCACCCTGTACTTTGACGGTAGGGGAGGATCATTAAACTTTATTCCATTATGAAATCATCAGAAAAACGGCAGGCATTCCAATGCTAGACTTTCCGTACAAAAATATTCACCTTTCCAGCCATTGTAAAATGTTTCACACGGCCGTATTATCCAATTGGCAAGGTCCGTTTCTTTAAACGAATTAAATAAAAAAAGGATAGTTTTCAAAAATTATTCAATTCCAAATGAAGGCTTCTACAATTTCAAATATTCGTTTTTATTTTTCAACAAATAAAAAACAGTTCTGTCAATGTTGAATTTGTTCAACTTTATTAAAATTTTGGGGTGAAAAATGTCGAAGGCTTACGTCAGAATTTAGGTAGTGGTGTTAGGAAGCCAAAGTGTTTTGAAAGATATCCAATTGAAATATCTTACCGCTTCGACATTAATATCAAAAATTTAAAAAAAAAAAATTAGAGGATACATAAATAAAATAAATTTAAAACTGAAATTTGGAATATTGCTATTTGATTTATTAACAAAATAAAACTTATGAAAAAAAATGTATTTTGGAAATTTTCGTGAATTAGGGTTCAATGGATATCTAAATAGAATTTCATATGGAATGAACACAAACGTAATATTGAAAATGCCGAAAAAAATATTTCTCAAGCCAACCTCCAATTATTGCAGTTTTATAAATTTACAAAAGAAATCTTATTAATATCTTTTTAAAAATTAACCAGTAAATATATAATAGAAACAATATTTTTTGTTTATTCTAGGTACGCGCCTCCCAACAACAACATCAGCAACAACAGGGGGGTTATGTTGCTCCTGCCGTCAGAGAATACTTGCAACATCAGCCACAGCCTCAACAGGTAAGATAAGTTTCGAAAAAAATGGTGTTTTCGATAAACGTATTAAAAATCGGAATATATTTATACCCTCCATCTTGAAAAGGAAGATATGTTAACTTTGTCATTCCGTTTGTAACATCCTTAAATATATTCATAATCAGCAAAAAATTCTAAAAAAATCTTTGTAGGTCATAATAGTTCTGGTTCCGGTGGAAAAACATGGTATATATAGGTCCAGGATTTTTGTTTAGCCCTCCATTTAACGGTACCTCCCGATATTCTGTATTTTGAGGATTTTTGCCACAGACACGGATTTGTCTAAAAATTGGTATTTTTAGGTCATAATGGGTTTTACCTCCGGTGGCAGAACATTGAATATTTAGATCCACGTTTTCCAATAGCCTACATATTACGATACCCATCGACATTCTGTATTTTGATAATCCTAGTCATATTTACCCACGAAAATGTTTCAAATTTGGTATTTAAGAAGATTTGGTAAATGACTATCCTTGAAGTATAAAATTGTCCATAGAGGTTCTTGTTTTGGTCTCACCCACTTTATGTATTTTTTTGAAACACGTTTGAATTTTCCACCCAAAGGCGGCAGAACTTAATGTTTTTTTACTTATTTTTATACCCTCAGCCATATAGCTAGAGAGGGTTTATATCATTTGATGCGATCAAAACGTGCCTAGTTGAAACAACGGCTTTCGATCTTAAATCTCTTTGGATCGAATCCATTTCAGAACATTTGGTGTCGATCTAGCGATGTCCGTCCGTTTGTCTGTCTGTCTGGCTGGTGAGCACGATAACTCTCGAAGGGAGTATCCGAACTTGGCACATCGTAATATTTTTCTCAAACTTAGAGCGAGTTTGGTTTGTCCGATTGTCTTCAAATTTCACACATCCCAATATTTATGTTAACTCAAGGTCTGGTCTTAAGATGGAGTCCACTCAAACAAAAGGCCAAATTTTTCAAAAAAAAAAAAAAAAATTCTGCGCAGAAAGGGAAGCAATAATCCAATTTAGCTATAATTTTGCAAAACCTAATATTTGCGTCAATTCTAGGTCAGGTACAAAAAAGGAATAATATCGGTCCACGACATCAAGTGCCTCTCCCACAAAGCGTCAAAATTTTGAATAATTATAACTTTTATAAAATATGATTTAAGTGTCCGATTACCTTCAAATTACACACACCGCAATATTTTTAATTAACCAAAGGTCTGATGTGAAGATGGTATATATCGGCCCATTCCTTCTGGTATCTCCCCCACAAAGAGCGGAAATTTTGAATAACCGTGAAGCTCATAAATCACCAAATTAAGATCCGATTCCATACAGACTTGGTACATCAAAATATTTCCATCAACACAAGATCTGTTATAAAGATGGTAGTGATCGGACAACTTCTTCTGTTAGCACCCCCCCCCCCCCCAAAAAAAAATTATAAAATCCGAAATAAACATCCGGTTTCCATAATATTTCACACATCTCATTATTTCTACCAACACAAGATGTGATGTGAAGATGGGATATATCGGTCCACACCTTCTGGTACTTCCCACACAAAACGTGAGAATTTGGAATAGCCATGATGTTCGTAAAACGCGAAATAAGCATCTGATTCTCTTTAAATCTTACACACCTTAACATTTCTTCTCCCGCAAGATCTTCTGTGAATACGGGATATATCGATCCACTCCATCTGGTACCTCCCCCAAGATGGGTCCAATTTTTATATATCCATGAAGTTGATAAAATTTGAAATTAACATCCAATTCCAATCAGACTTCCAATAGAAAAATTCATCAATCATGGCTTTTTAATTAAAAAGCTCATCAGCCATGGTTTTAACCAATGAAAATATCATCAGCTATGACTTATCTATCCGAAAATCTTCTCAACGGAATTCAAATGTTGATATATGGCCTTGTCATAGAAAAAACATTTGTCAAATTAAAGGCTTCCTTACCAATTTCATTTTGCATTAAATCACTGAAAAATTTCGTTTTCAAAATCCGACAATAAAATATTGACACATTAATTATTGATTGACACCTATCTATTAATGAAAATATAAATATTTTGAAATTTTGCGATAAGTGGACAAACCTGATATCGCACAACTTGAATTTTCCAAACACCAGTCAATGTTTTCATTCCGGTATTTTGATAGTTTTTCCATGCATTTGGCTTTAATGGAATTCAATTTCAATTTTCTGGAAAATTTATTAGCTTTCACACAAAACAATTAAATGCTAAGTGGTTAAATTAAAAATAAATAAATAAATATCCCAACGAAGAGAGGAAAAATTACTTTCAAAAAAAGACTTTCGAAAATACACACATCTTTTCTTTTTTTACTTCCACATTCATTTTAATAAAAATGTATCTTCTTATCTTACAGATCCAATACCAAGCTCCACAACAGGTCTATCGTCAACCCCAAGCCGTTGCTCCCGCACCCAGAAGGCCACAGGCTGTGCCCCAGCAATATCAGGCACCCAGACCCAAGGGCAAGGGCCAAATCGAAGAAGAAGAGGAATATGAGGATGTAAGTACTTCCACTTAAAATGAAAGCAATTTTCACACATTTTCTCATTTAAAAAAAAGATCTACAGGGAAAATCTTGCCTGACCAATTTCCCCCTTATCTCCAAGACATTTCCTTTCATCATTCTGCATTTAATTTCTGCAAAACCATTGTTTTAATATCTCCAACGAAAAATAAAGTCACCATAAATCACAGTCTTAAATGGTTGAATTGAACTTAGACCTCCTTATTAATTTCATTGTTTTCCATTTCCCAAAAACATGGAGAGAGCAGGGGAAGGAGAGAGAGAGAGTTAGGCAGTCATACTTCCTTGCGAAACCTCCCATTGTATGTTAATATTACGCCGCTGAACTTTATTTCTTGTTAAAGGCCAACAATGTTAGCAGTATTTTTTGAGTTGTTAGCATTCCCATAAAAAACGTATTTGCCGTTTGGCCAGTCAGTTACCATTATTTTCAGTGCATGAAAAAAAACGGGGCGGGGAGGTAAATCAAAAGTAAACAGCAAAAAAAAAAAGAAATTTCAAATATTACATGATTTAATGGTCGACGCCGCCGCGCCACTGCACTTGCGCATAGCTGGATCGCGCGCTCATGGCAATATAAGGTCATTAACACCAATTGAAATGTAAGCGAAAAAAAAAACAACAACTATTGGCTGCATTACGACAACCATGTGCTTTGATGATGTTACTCAGACAGGTTGCGAACGAGCAATTGCATGGCAATTGGATTGTTTAACGAGTGACTGGTAGTAAGTAGGCAGATTGCAAGCAAACATAGTAAACGTATCCATCCATGAATTCCAATTATGGTAGAGTTGCCGTTTTGCAACACTGAATCATTGGGAATGAATAAAAAGACTGTAGTTTTCCATAGGAAAAGTTCATAATGAATGCTGAAAAAGTTCATCAACAGTAATGAAATTTTTCTATACGAAAAAGTTCAACATCAGTGCTGAACTTATGGTATAGAAAAGTTTAAAATCAGTGATGAACTTTTCGTACATAAAAGTTCAAAATCAGTGCTGAATGTTTTCTTTAGAAAAGTTTAAAATCGTATAGAAAAAGTTCATCCATCAGTGCTGAATTTTCCTATTGAAAAGTTCAACAGTTTGCTATACGAAAAAAGTTCAACACCGATGATGAACTTTTTCTATACGAAAAAAGTTCAACACCGATGATGAACTTTTTCGTATAGAAAAAGTTCAGCACTGCGGTTGAACTTTTTCGTATAGAAAAAGTTCAGCACTGCGGTTGAACTTTTTCGTATAGAAAAAGTTCAGCACTGCGGTTGAACTTTTTCGTATAGAAAAAGTTCAGCACTGCGGTTGAACTTTTTCGTATAGAAAAAGTTCATCATCGGTGTTGAACTTTTTTCGTATAGAAAAAGTTCATCATTGAACTTTTTCGTATAGCAAAAAGTTTAGCACTGCTGTTGAACTTTCTCGTATAGCAAAAAGTTCAGCACTGCTGTTGAACTTTTTCGTACAGCAAAAAGTTCAGCACTGCTGTTGAACTTTTTCGTACAGCAAAAAGTTCAGCACTGCTGTTGAACTTTTTCGTATAGCAAAAAGTTCAGCACTGTTGATGAACTTTTTCGTATAGCAAAAAGTTCAGCACTGTTGATGAACTTTTTCGTATAGCAAAAAGTTCAGCACTGTTGGTGAACTTTTTCGTATAGCAAAAAGTTCAGCACTGTTGATGAACTTTTTCGTATAGCAAAAAGTTCAGCACTGTTGATGAACTTTTTCGTATAGCAAAAAGTTCAGCACTGTTGATGAACTTTTTCGTATAGCAAAAAGTTCAGCACTGTTGATGAACTTTTTCGTATAGCAAAAAGTTCAGCACTGTTGATGAACTTTTTCGTATAGCAAAAAGTTCAGCACTGTTGATGAACTTTTTCGTATAGCAAAAAGTTCAGCACTGTTGATGAACTTTTTCGTATAGCAAAAAGTTCAGCACTGATGATGAACTTTTTCGTATAGCAAAAAGTTCAGCACTGATGATGAACTTTTTCGTATAGCAAAAAGTTCAGCACTGATGATGAATTTTTTCGTATAGAAAAAGTTCAGCACTGTTGATGAAGTTTTTCGTATAGAAAATGTTCAGCACTGTTGATTAACTTTTTCGTATAGAAAATGTTCAGCACTGTTGATGAACTTTTTCGCATAGAAAAAAGTTCAGCACTGCTGTTGAACTTTTTCGTATAGAAAAAAGTTCAGCACTGAATTTTAACTTTTCTCTGAGAAAAGTTGTACACTGATTTTGAACTTTTCTCTGGGAAAAGTTCTGCACTGATTTTGAACTTTTCTATGATAAAAGTTCAGCACTTTTAACTTTTCTCTGGGAAAAGTTAAGCACTGATTTTGAACTTTTCTAGTTTCAAACTATTCCCGTGGAGAAAATTTCATCATCGCGAAGCGTCAGCAAATAATCGTGACCCTTTTGAGAAATGAGGTGGCAACCCTGACCCACGTTTTGCATTGTTGATGAACTAAGCCTCTGCTTCAAACACAAGAAGAGTATAAAACACAAGCAGCAACGGATGCTGCATATTTTTAGCATTTCGATGCATTACATGCTTTTGTTGATGTTGTTTGTTTTGCTTTCATTATTTCTTGTTGATTTTTTTTGCTGAGTCTTCCGTACGGAAATGCATATTGATTGGTTTTCAAAGTTTTACATTTGTTTTCCAAGTGTGTGTTGGTTCGATGGCCGGGTGTGTGTGTGTGAGTTTGATTGTGGATATAATTTTAATGGAAAAATTAGACATGAAAATTTATTTGGCCTTTGTTTTGTTCAGGCTTCCTTTCATTTTCGTTTGTTTGGAAATTCAGCAGAGGCTAGTATGTGGCCAATTTAAATGGAGGCTAGTTAGCAGTACTTTGGGGAAGGAGATTTGAGTGAGTTTCGCTCTATGGAACTTCCTTTTGAATTGTCTTCAAAGACATAGAAGTTTTAATGTCCTGGTGCTGGATTCTTGTTCTATGAAAACATGAAATGAAAAATATTTTCTTTATACAATTATTCATTTGACATTACATTCCTTTATAAAAGTTTTCATTTCAAATTTTCATAGAACAAGAATTGAGGCCCTGGTCTCCAATTGCATTATTTATACCCTACACCACAAGGTCAGGGTATTATGTCTTTGTGCATTTGTTTGTAACAGGCATAAGGAAACGAGATAGACCCATAGTTCCTTTTGATGATCTGCATAGTATCACATTTTAAGTCGATTTATGCATGTCCGTCCGTCCGTCTGTCTGTCCGTCTGTCCACGTATTTTTGTAAACAAAGTACAGTTCGCATTTATTGCCCTATCCAGATGAAATTTTGCGCAAATCATTTGTTTGGCCCAAGGACGAACCCTATTGAAATTGGAGATAATCGGTAAAAATTTAGATATAGCTCCCATATATATCTTCGTCCGATTTGCTTTTTATTGTGCACCAAACGTGTAATATCAGTCCGAACAGTATGGAATTTTGCACGCACAATCAGATTGGACCTGAAAATAAGTATGCCAAATTTGATCGAAATCGGTTCAGATATAGCTATAGCTCCCATATATATTGTTCATCCGATTTTTTATTTCTGTCCTCCGCAGCCGTAATATGCACTGTGTAACAACAATATTTGGGGAAATATATCAAATACAGCTCAGAAATACGTTTGCTAAATTTTATCGAGATCGGTTCAGATTTGGATATAGCTCCCATATATAACTTCGTCCGATTTAACTTTTATTGTGCACCAAACCTCTAATATTTGTCTAAATGGGATGGAATTTGGCACTTACGACCGAATTGAGTCTAGATGTTAGTATGTCAAATTTGGTGAAGATCGGTTCAAATATAGCTATGGCTCCCATATATATTGTTCATCCGATTTATTGTATTTGTTACCCACAGGCGTAATATGTACTCCGTAACAACAATATTTGGGGAAATATATCAAATACAGCTCATAAATATCTTTGCCAAATTTTATCGAGATCGGTTCCGATTTGGATATAGCTCCCATATATATATTTTTATCCGATTTTTAGTCCTTTGAACTTTAAATTATAATTATAATCATAGCGTGTATGATTGAATTCTCCCATAAAAACTTTTATTTGTTATGCGTAGCTCTACTAAATTAGCAAAGGCTTTCTTTTCTGGTTTTATTTTTTAATTTGTTTTCTTTAGAAAAAATACAAAACAATTTGAATTTCTAACCTTCTTTGGATCTACTTCAAAGTTGCTTTCCAACCTCACCCCAACTCCCCGGTTTAACTGTCATATCGAACATATTTCCAACTCCATCAAAAATTGTTTTCATAATTTGTCAGCCAAAAAAAAAAGTCGTAATTGCGAGAATCGAAAAAAAAATCCAAAGGAATTTCAAAATTGTTGTGAATGTTGAAAATCATAATTTTGTTTGTCACATTCGTTGCTCCGCTGGTAATTGAACTGAAAACCTGCAAACAAAGAGGTTGTGTGTCTGAAACCAAGTCGAATAGGAACTCGACAACTTAATTTGTATTCAATGGGCAGAATAAAATATTCTATCACATCATGTTGAACAGAATTATGGTTAACATAAAGGCTGCACCCTGGTATGATGGCGGGCTGGCTGGCTGGCTGGTTGGTAGGTCGGTCGCTCGTTCATTTGTCTGACTACCAACTACCTTAACCCAGTTTAGATGAGAGCGAGAGCTGTGAATGCTGGCTGCAATGTAACAACAATGTAGGCTTATAGAATATCCAACCAAGCAACCAACCATCCGTTCGGCCTTCTGGCCATACCCCATCATGTTGGGGGCCTCCCATCCATTTATCTGGGGTTTTCCATTTGGCTAGTTCTCTTGCATGTTTATTTGTTCCTCCGTTCATCAGTATCTCTATTCATCCGTTGCAATTGCTCGCTTCGTTTCTTGGGCTAGGTTATTTGAAATCAAAGTGAACTGAAATTCATTGTTTGGTGGAGGTATAAAACTTTTCGATTTCATTGTT